AGGTTAAATATATTTTATAATTTCTCTCATGTTTGTGTTTCTTTAATGGAATCCTTCACGCCTTTAACATTTTTTTTATTACACTCTTTTTGTTTATAAATATTAATATTGGCTAATGATAAATTTATATATATAATTATTGAAAATGTAACCAAAATCTCAGGTTGGCTAAATAAGGGATGGGTACATAGATAAGGATAATTATCTTCATTATTACGAGGTCTTTTCTGTGAAACCAAACAAAGACGCGAGGGTTATGTCCAAAGCGGACAATATCATGTCATTGTAGAGATATTTAGGGATACGAGGGTATCGTTGTCCTTAACAATATATAATACTCAATGGGTTGCCATAAATTAACCAGATGAATTACGCTCTTAAGAGATTAAAATTTTTATTCAATCCTCCAAAGTTTCTAAGTAGTTAATAGATTATTTTTTCTTTTTCTTTTTCCTTAGATGGTCTAATTCCTCGTCTAAAAGTTATGCAAATTCACTATGTCAAAAATTTATCATCATTCAATTTTAAAATTCACCAACAAAAAGTAAAAAAATGTTAAAACATAATGGACTAACTTGAAACTTTTTAAACCATAAACACACCTAAAACATATATATATTTGGGCCATTTATTATCAATATTAAGGATAAAGTAAAGATCTAATCTAACAAACTAGATAAGAGTTTTGTAAGCCAACATTTGACTTTGGATCGTTCCAAAGGTTTAGTCCAGCACATCCAACACATAAGTCATGCACCATGAGGCAAAACTTGAAAGGTCGAGTAACCTAAGTCTCCTGAGTCCATTATGTGAGACGAGTCCCACGAGGCTAGCCCAGTAGAACTTTGATTCTTCAAATTTTTAAGATTATTTAATATTTATACACTACAGCATTCTAATATAAATTTGAATTAGAAGATTCAAATCTTTTTTAATTGATGGATTTTGGAAAAAGTAAGTTTTCAAACGAATTAGAAACTTTGAAATTAGGAATAAAGTGTTGGGGTATTTTCTTATTTCTTATTTTTTTTTTTTTTTAATTTTTAGGGTAAGAGTGATGAAAGAATCTTTAGGTAGAAGCATCCGACAAGATTGATTGGCTTGGGAAGGTGGGAAACCGAGTGGGATGGATCCAAACGCCGCGTTTAAAATGTTTTGTTTTCCTTTTCCCCAGTTTTTTAAAATTATTATTATTCTTATTCAATTGTTTTAGCAAATAAAAAAATAAAAAAAAAGAATCTAATGCGAATTGGGTGGGAATAGAAAAGAGAATAAAGCGGTGTCGTTTAGGAATTAGGAGTCGTCAAAGAAACAGCATCTTCCACTTCCAGCTGACACCTCGTGCTCTGGTTCCTGGTTTCACCCCATTTTGGGAATCCCCTGTTTTTACTTTCCTCCACTCGCCTTCTCCGCGCGTCCACTCCACCTTCCATAACCATTTCCTTTGAATCGGAAAAAGTTTTCCTTCTGTTCACACCCTAAATTTCTCATTCGAAATCCTTCTTTAATGCTACTTAATCATCCCACATCCTTTCGACAAAGAATGAGAGTAATGTTGATGGATCCCACATCATTCGTAAATGATGTTCGTGTGGTGGGAAATTAATGAGAGAAGTATCAATATTTCGTAGTACTTTATGACATTTCGTAGGTTGAGTCTATTTAATCTCTAAAACTTTAAACAAATTCAATTATGTCTCTAAGTTGATTCGGTGATTATGCAGTACATTGTGACAACTAAAGCGTGTCGAGGTAGACTAGTTGCATGGGACAATAGAAAAATTCAATTGTTGACATGGAAAATTATGTTTGCAATCGCTCATTAATATGATCAAGTAAGCGTTAAACTAATTAAGTTAATAACATAAACCTATTAGACATGATTTTGAAAATTTATGACCGAATTTGTAATTTAACCTAAGTTATATTTTGATTCATAAACTTTCATGTTTATTTCATTTCGGTTACTCTTAAACTTTTAAATATTTTATTTTAATATGTGAATTATGAATAAGAAAACAGTTTTAGTTTTTCCATTGATATTTTTTAATCTATTTAATAGAACCAAAACCTAACGTAGGTGTACATAGTTTTCTTTGCTTTTGTGACGACTAAGATATCTAGTCTACGTGAATAAATATTTGAAGTAAAATATAGTATGTCATGCGTTGAATGTCAAAGTATATTTAGATTATCTAAATGAATGAAAATCAAGAATAAGGTTTTTATAAAATATGTATTTTTACAAAGTTTAGAAACTAAAATAGAAGGTTCGAGATGAAATTTATTTATTAATCTTTGTTTGGAGTTTAATTTATGTGGGTGTTTTGTGAACCATCTAAGCTCACATGTTATTTGAAGTTTGCACTTCATTAATAAATGTAGTGATTTCCACAAATTATGTTAGAACGTATTTGGTACCATATACAACGTCCATCACTCTCATTTGAAAACAACATAAAGATTCTTTAAAGTCTATGACGATTTCAAAAGGCTCTAGATATCAAAGATGACTTAAGTTTGTCCCAAAAGATGATTCAAATGATCAAATCAAAGATCTTCAAGATTTGAAACTTGAATGGATAAATCTTTTCGAGGAAGAAAGGAATATAATTCGAAGAATAAAGTTCATCCATACCTTAAATACTAACCAGAATAAAGTATTATATAGGAGACGGATAGAGTTTGAATTTACTTGTGAAAAAGAGAGGTACACATCAAACTATATTCACATTGCAAAAAATCTATTACCTAATTTTTCGGAAAAAAAAAATTACATATAGCACAAGACTATGGAACATTCAAATATTATTTTTAAAAGTAAAAAATAAAAACACTCACAAATTGAAAAAAAAAAAAAAAGAAATAGGTATAAATTAAGCTACCTAAAATAAGTGTTACTCGTAAAAATAGCTTTGTCCAACCATAAAAATACTTATATATAACTAGTTACAAATACGTAACAACTCAAGTTTTAAGATTCAGTTCGATAAAATTAAAATTTATTCCAAAGAATTTTACCCTCAAAAGAAAAAATACCCACAACTTGAACTTGGGTTTAGGAATAACTTTTAGAAGCAGAAGATTCCCATAGAAATTTGGAGAGGAAAAAAGCACAAACAACAAAGAAGAATCTTCACACTAGTCAAAAAGAGAAACCCTCAACTCAAATTGTAAATTTCAAAGGCAGCATAAAATATTAGAGTCAATTACCAAAATAGGGTCATGATTAGAAAAAAGAAAAAAGAATAATAATAATAATAAAAGTAAGATTGAAGAAAGAAAATGTCATAATACTCATAAATCGTAATTTATTTGGGGTTGGAATCTCAATTAAAATTGATCTTAAAATGGTAAATTCTACTTTGGTGGGCTACATTTAAAAATAATAATAATAATAATAATAATAAAAGGTTATGAAATTAAATGGAAGTGTAAGGAATTCAAAGATATTAGGTGAAAGTTTTGTTTGTCATTTCATGGCCTTTTTCACGACATTTGACCAGAATTTGGTGCCTGTTTTTTGGGTTTTAAAAAGCTAACAATTGGGATTCCTTTGTTTTAAAATTCCAAATTCCAAATTCCAAAATGAGTTTAAATATAACACTAAGTTGAAATAATAAATTTTTATTTTTATTTAATTCTTAGTTTAAATATTATTTATGTTGCTGTACTTTTTTTTCATTTTGATTTCTTCTATACTTTTAAATGGTATATTTTAATTCTTGTAATTTAAAAAATTATCAATAACTAAAATGGATCTTTTGAAAGTATAGGGAATAAAGTCCACGTGAACGATTAAGACATTTTATTCCTTTAGTTGGAGGTTCAATCCCATATTCCCACATTTGTTGTACTGCAACAATTATAGAGGTTAAAATTAACGTATGACTAAAATGGATGTTTGAATTAAAAATATAATGATCAAAATAGTATTTAAATATTATTTTTTATTTAATAATATATTTTATATAATATTAAGAATAAAAAATTCAATTATTTTTTTTAATCTCATAATGTTCAAATTTCATTTTAGTGGTTAAAGAATATAAGTTTATAGATAAGATTTGGACCCTAAACTTATAAAGAAAGTTATTAATATTGTAACTAATTAAGTTTAAATTGACATTTTAGTTGGTATTTTGAAGATAGGTTTTGACTTAGAATTACTATTTTTATATTTCGATTATCATTTGATATTTATCCTAATGGTTTTATTGTTGATAAAATTACCTACATTTAATAAAATATATATATACACATATATTTTTCACTCATAATACTTAACTCACCCCTCAGTAATCTCATTCCTTCAATTTGACAAATAGCAAAGTCAATAAAGCGGGTACATTGATGCGAAAATAAAACTACGGACAATTTATTGGCAATGAAAGAAAATAAAACTACGGACAATTTATTGGCAATGAAAGAAAATCGATAGTAAAGGATTTAGAAGGAATGAGTTCAAACCATGGTGGCCACCTACCTAAGATTTAATATCYTACGAGTTACCTTGTCAACCAAATGTAGTAGGGTCTGGCCGAACTAGGATGGTTAAGTTACGCTAAAAAAATTTCTTTCTCCATTCTAGAATTAGGCGAGTTAATGGATACAAGTCGCGTTTTTCAAAATTTGCGATGGAATAAACTTATTTTTGTATTAGTACGTGTATGTTTTCCTCTATAGTATAACACGATTTAAAGAAAATAATCATACTAACCAAAACTTTTTACTTTTATTATAATTTTRCATAAATATCTATTAACATTTCCAACAACATTTTGACATAATTAAATTGATATTTTCATATTATTACAAAAATATGAAAAATACCATCAAAATAATATTAATAGACACATAATATTAATATTAATGTATCACAGCGCAATAACAAGTTTTTGTCAGGCAACTAAGCCATACAATAAAAATAATAAAAACATGAAAAATAAAAATGGAAAAAATAGGGAAAATAGAAAAACGCGACGACACGAGAGTAAGGGATTTATGCATAAGCTCCGTGAATCTCCATCTAAAATCGGCGATGCCTTCTCTGCATCCGCAAGTCAGAATCTCCGCGTTTTATTCTCAATTTTCTTTGCTTCCATTTGACACTCTTCTCCATTTTCTCCCTCGCCCCTCACTCTTTTAAATCTCCTTTCTCCATTAATCCCCCATTTCTGATGCTGTTTCATCACTTTACCATCACCCATCTCCCCAATTTCTGAAGATCTGCCTCTCAATCCCATCAATATGGGTTCCCTTTCGCCTAATATCAGCTGGGATTACCCTTTTACTCCCAAAACCATCGCCGATTTCCTCCGTCGTATCTCCACCATGACTAATGCGTCCGAGCGCCTCTCCAGACTCGACGATTTTGTGAAGAATTTGGAGGAAGAAATGAAGAAGATCGACGCCTTCAAGCGGGAGCTTCCCTTCTGTATGCTTCTGTTGAACGATGGTGAGTTTTTTTTTTCTTTTTTTTTTCTTTTGGCCCCAAATTCGATTCTGAGAGATGGGGTTTTTTTGGTTCCATTTGATTGGTGTTTCTTTTGGATTTTTTTTTGTGGGGGCTTCTGGATTTAGCTTTTTCTTTTATGTGTTTTTGTAGCGATTCTTGCTTTGAAGGACTCTTCACTGCAATGTGGTTCTTCTTGCTCTTCCCCGAAGCCCAAACCAGTTCTTGAGGAATTCATTTCGTTGAAGAAGGACTCTGATGAGAATGAGGAAGAACAGGATAGTAGAGATAAGAAGGAATGGATGAGCTCTGTTCAGCTATGGAAGACTGATGACTTCCAAAACACCCCCCAAATCAAAACCAAGGTAGATTAAGATTTGCATTTGTTTGTCTGAAAATGAAACAGTAAATTTCTGTTGGGTGTTTGGAAATTATGACCAATCCAAATTTTCGCCGTTTTGTTTGTGATTAGAGAAACGAGGGGTGGGGTTACTTAGCTGCTGCTTCGGAGGATCGGTTTCGGCCATGTCGAAATAAGGATGAAGAGAGTTCATTTGTTGGGTTTAAGTCATCTTCTTCTGCTTTTCCAGCCGTGGCTGCTGTGAAGAAGCAAGAGAAGATTGAATCTCCCATTTGTGCACTTTCTTTGGTCACTCCCAGCTTGAAGAATCCTACAGATGAATTGGGATCCTGTGTTTTGCGGTCGAGTGGCAACCGAGCTACTTCGACCTCTGCTCCTGATGTTCAGTCCAATCTACGGACTGTATTGCCACTGCAGCAGCAGCAGCCTGCCCGCAAGCAGCGGAGGTGCTGGTCCCCGGAGTTGCATCGACGATTCGTGAATGCCTTGCAACAACTTGGAGGCTCACAAGGTGAGAACTAACTATCCATAAGATCAAGCATTGGGTGTGTCTTATTTTACATGTTTGAATCAATTTGAAGTTGGTTTTCAGTTTTGATCACTTTTCTGTTACTTCCTTGTATGATTTCTTTAGCTAATGGATGAATCAAATAAATTCAATTAGCCTAAACTAGATGATAAGAATTTCTCTTGAACTGTTGGATCATTTTTCTGTGTTAATGAGATGTTAGCAGACTGTAAAACTTGTTGATTTTCTTGTGAATACTGCCTCTAATTCGGACGTTTTTTGATCGAATGCAGTCGCAACTCCAAAGCAAATTAGGGAACTGATGCAGGTGGATGGCCTAACCAATGATGAAGTAAAAAGCCATTTACAAGTAAGGTTCCAAACCACTCCCATCACCAAACTCTTTCTCCTTGAAACTGAATGACATTGCAACCCTTTATAAACTCATCAACAATGATAACGCGAACAATCGGTTTTTCTTGTCAATGCAGAAATACCGTCTTCATACTCGGCGACACCCCTCGACCGCAGCTGCCCGAGCAGACCAATCCCCGGTTGTTTTAGGAGATCTATGGATGCCCCAAGATGGGTGTGGTGAATCCTCAAAGGTGAGCAGCTCTCAGTCAGCCTCACCACAAGGTCCGCTCCAGTTGGCTGGAAACGGAGGGTATTCGACAACAGGAGGCGAGAGCGTGGAGGACGAGGAAGATACGAAATCCGAAAGCTATGGCTACTGGAAAACTCAGGCTCACACTGGCAAAAGATGATGTAAAAAGTTTTGAGGCATAATAATACTATACAGTATTGGAGTTTGTCAATTACAGAGGGATTGTTGTACACAGTACATAAAAGAGAAGAGAATCAGAAAGATGAATATCACAAGATAGAGTGAATCAAGGAAGCTGTGAATTATTTTTGCAGGATTAGTTTGATTTTTTTTTTTTCTGAAAAGAATA